CAAGTGGGCTGGGGGTGCACAAGGAGTTGAGAGGGGACACAGCCAGGACAGCTGACCCCAGCTGACCAAAGGGATATCCTAGACCATATGACATCATGCTCAGCATCTAAATTTGGGGGAAGAAGGAGGAGGGGGGTGTAAGAGTCAGTCCGGAAAACAGCATTGTCTCAACCTTGTCATCAGGGATATGGACAGTAAGGTACCCCAAAAGTTAGGCTAACATCTTGAGAGGAGTCTGCAGTGGCCTGACCAAGACGCAGTTGCTGATCCCGAGATTGGAATGCAGTACGAACACCCCGGGAGGGAGAGCTGCACGGCATGAAGAGTGCCGTGTACAAACACCCCGGGAGAGAGAGCTGCACGGCACGAAGAGTGCCGTGCCATTCTCCAGCACCAGGGCCGAGCCTGAGCTGACCAGGTGGACCATGTAACTGCTGTCAAGAATGACCGATCAGCATTGATGGAGCCAAGAAGAGGCAGAGATACAGAGGAGGAGCAAGGTATGTTACTTGGCATAAAAGATGGCTCCTCAGCAGCCAAACTTTGGAAGCTTTCCCCAGCAAGGATCACGATGACCATTAGGACTGGCAGGACTCTGCCTGGACCTGGGACTGTAGGGACGCCTTGGACCCGTGGTAGTAGCTATCAATCTCTTTCCTCCTTTCACTTTACTTTTCACTTTCCTTTCACCCTCTTTACCTATCGCACGCTGCTTTATGGGCGAACAATAAAGTTTCACTGTTTGATTGAAGAAAACCCCTTTGGCGTGGTCACCTTAATTTTGCACTTTGAGATCACAGCAAATGAACCATCATGAGTCCACTGAGTGGACTGTGACAGTGGGGAAGTTTGGAGTGATGGCGTTTGTCTTCCCAAGTAACCATTAAGCACGACGGAGCCCTGCTTTGCTGGAGATGGCTGAACTCCTGCCAGCCGATGGGAAGTGGTGAATGAATTCCTTGTTTTGCTTTGCTTGCGCACATGGCTTTTGCTTTACATATTAAATTCTCTGTATCCCAGCCCATGAGTTTTTCTCATTTTTACCCTTCTCATTCTCTTCCCGACTTACCAGGGTGGGAGCGAGCAAGCAGCTGTGCAGTGCTTAGTTGCCAGCCCAGGTTAAAACACGACAGTCCTTTAGGAGAACTTATTGTCAACATGACCTGTTAGTGTCATTCTAGGAAAAGATATACAAGTTGTCAGTACTAAAAATCCAAAGGATAACATTGCTGAGAACGTATGCTCTGTTTTTCCAGCACACCAAGGTTTTTTAACTAGTGGGGGTTTATTTTATTTTTTTATTCTCACTCTTTAATAACTTGGCAAGGTAGAAAACTACATAACAAAAGGAAATAAAATTTAAAGATATAAAACCAAGAAACTCCAGAAAACAGAAAAGAATAAGCGTTGGCTGTCTTGGAGGGTAAGGAAGGAATCATGTGCATTATCTTTTACATATCTATTTTTTTTGGCATAGTGGAACCTGGAAAAGGAAGTAATCTGAACGGTTTAGCTACTTGCTGGGCAACATGGCATCACTGAATTGTTATCCCATGATGTAGTCAAGCTGTAAATTATAGTCCATGATGCTCTCCAAGTTGTGGACCACAATACATGTGTTTTTGCTATTGCAAGTCACATAGGCTTTATGAGGTTTTAGACAACATCAGAAGATAGCTTGAAACAGACACAGCTTCCAGAATCTCTGAGGCTGATAAATACACCTTTGGCTAGAAAGTGAAAAAAATAACAAGGAATAATGAGCAATATAGAAAGAACTTTGATTCTCAGAAGAGGTTATGTATATCTATGTTTTACTTTAAAGGGAAGATATACTATAGCATTTCATTGCAAGTGTGAGGTTCTGGTAACAGGTTGAGACTGAGGGTACAAAAGTGTCTGCTATATCCCAAAGAAGGATATTAGCAGACTGTCGCTGTTGTAAGGCCAAGTATTCAGTCTTTAGGAAATACCAGAATTAATACTGTCCATCCTTGATGCAATAAAAATGGCTGTAATAATGGGAATAGGCATGACATGTTTTGCCAGCAATTTAATGACACAGCTGTAGAGACACTCAGAAGTTCTGGTCTCTTGTCTCGCTTCTGGGACTGGATATATTCTAATGGCTCATTTGCTCTCTAGTAGCACCTGCCCTCTCTTTCCTCCTCATTGCCTTCTCCAGGCACTTACCCACCAGTTCTCATCCCCACCTTCCTTTCCTCCTCTCTATAAGATGGTTGCTTAATCCTCAGAGCTGCAACCATTTCTTCCCTGCAGCTTCAGTTCTTCTGGGGAGCATCTCCAGCAGGCCTTGTACACTCCCTATCAGCTGTGTTGCCTTCCCAATGTCTCTTCTCTCAATGGAAATGTACGCATGGACAGGCATCATCAACTGCATAGCACAGTTTATAGATCCTCCTTGAATGGATACCGGTGACATTCAGTAACATCCAGTCTTACAGGGAATAACTTTGTTTTGGTGCTCCAAGGATAAATGCAGTGGTGGGAGGAATGAATGCAAGGGGACTCATGCTGGCTTGTGTTTCTTGGTTGCGTTTCAGAGTTCCCTTACAGGTCCTGAACTTGGACCATAGGTTGAAAATCTCTACATTATTGCAGTGCCGGTATGAGTTAAGAACATCTGTATCGCTATCCATGTCCTTGCATGCATTCCCAGTCAAAAAGGAGTCATCTTTCAGGCCATCCCTCCATTTGCCTCCTTTCTTCCTCACTGCTAATAAACAAGTTGCTCTTTGTTAATGAAGGTTTAGGATTATTGATATGAGTTTACAGAGCTTGCTGAACTTGAAATACTCAAGTTCCTGGTTTCCATCTTGTATATTTTATTTGCTGTTTTCTAAGCTGTAATAGGCCAATGACCACATGCATTGGTGGCTACTTTTTGACAGTTCATAACCCATTTGTAATTACTGGGCAATGGTTCACAGTGATTTATGGATTATGGATATTACTCTTCAAAATCTGATGGTTGCCATCAAGCTTTTGGGGTGTTCTGGCAATATGGAATCAATGGGATGCAGATTGCGTATTTCACATCTACATTATGGGAATGATGCTATAACTGCTAAGAGGAATGAAAAAATCATCCTACAAAACAGAGAGGAGTCCCACAGAGGCAACAAGGTCTGTTAAAAAATTCATTTCCTGCCTTAGTTTGCCCTTGAGTGACCTCTCCATACATGATATTCAAACATGAATATCATTCAGTGATGCCAGCATGTCTTCTTTAGTGCTAGCTGAAAGGTAAATTGGCAACCTGTTTTGTGTGCTAATGGGGTCCATTTCAGTTGCACACGATACAGAAGACTAACCTGAGGAAAGAAGACATTCACTGACCACATGTGTCTCTTTGCAGTCAGTCTCCAGAACTGTCCAATGTAAATATTGTTTCTAAGCAGTGGTGATTTTGTTCCATGTTTTCTAAAAAGCCAGGGGAAAACTCTTCACCGACTCCCCAAATATTCAGTCACAGATGATTGCCAACAGCAATGACTGAACAGCTATACTGACTGGAAACGTCTCACTAGAGTGGTAATATTACATGTGATTCTCTAAAGAAACCTAGAGATCATTCACCAAACACAGTCTGCTCCCCTTAAGAAAAGCGCTGAAACCATTAAACATGCTGTCAAAGGCTGTGACTGAGGTATACAGTAAGGCAGAAGGACTTTCAAATCTAGACCCTGTTTTGAAATCCTGACAGAGAGGTTACGACTCTGGCAGTGTCCCCATCCCATTTATTGGTCCCCCAGGACCAAACTAAGAGGATTGTCTGGTGTGGAGGCTGCGCTCCCTGGTGAGCTGTGCTGGCAGCTTTGTTCCCCACAGCCAGACCCAGGCAAGCGGTGGTCTTCACATGAAGTCGCAGCACTTGGCTCCAGCCACAAAGGGTATGGCTATGACTCTTCTGCCAGGCACCCACAGCAGTAGGCTTCTCATGTCAATCCGCAAGCAGGGAAGCAGCAGGACATAATAGTCCCTGCTCTGCCCCTCTCATGCACAGCCCCACCACCCAGCACTGTTAGCTTGTGTTAAACCATGACACTGTGTTGGACAAACTGTTCAGAATATCTAGTGTTGTTACTATTTGCTGTGCATCCTTGCTGGCAATTTTTATTTGAACTAATTAATGATTAACAGGGGTGCTGTGCTTAATCCTGTTCAATGGTACTGAAGAGAAGAAGGAGCAGACAAGACCAGATGGATGCAGCAAGATCCTTTCTGTAGCACTGTAAGTACCCTTTTAGTTTTCCCTTGGATGGTTTGGACATTTCATTTTGAGGGATTACATTGTTGCCTGGGAATCATGCCTTTTACATGTAAACAAAAGGATATACCTGTTATGCAAAAAATCAAAACATTCCAAAACCCAGAAAGAAATGGCTGCTAGTGAAGAAGATACTTTACATAATTAAATAAAAATTTGTTCTGGAAATGATAGAGATGCCTATAGACTTTGCTACCACAGTGATCTAATATTTTATTTTTTAAGAAACTGTAAAAGTATTTTGTAATTTTGGTCCTAGATAGTATGATCTCTGTTCGTATCACATTTTTGCTTAAAACAGATTTAATTCTTTCATTATTTGATGAATTGAGGGAGAATAACAGGGCTGTGGTAGCCATCCTGCAGTACTGAGTACAAAACCAATTACTCTGGGGAAAAGGTCATAAGCTTCCAGGTATTTGCAAATTTTTAAAAAATCAGTCCTACCCTGTTTTTAAAAAGATAATATGGTCAAGATGACTTCTTTTGAGAGAGAACTTGATTATGCAAATAGTGTAACAGTAGGTGGATTCTTTCTGGAGATCACTGACATGCATCAGGAGTATGAAATATAAAAGTGTGGGATTTTGGAGAACAGGTATGTTCTGAAAGCCTCATTGTACTTGTCTGGAGCACACAGAATGAAGAAATTAATTTCCATGCCATGTTTTGTATGTCTATCTCTTTTCCAGAAACAGTTAAAAGGAAAATGAAGCCCACCTTCTCCTTGTGTTTATTGCTAGCTGGTTTGTGTACTGTCACCCACTGCCAGCACCCTTGTTACCACAATAAGCAGGATGATCCTAAAAGGACATATTACTCAGGATGCAATACTCATGGGGAAGGAGTTCATCCAGTTAAGAACAAAACCTTTGTCAAACTAGCTCCCAGCAATGCTGACTTTGCATTTTCATTTTACAGGCTGGTTGCATCCGAGGCAACCGATAAAAATATTTTCTTTTCACCCGTAAGCATCTCTGCTTCCTTTGCAATGCTGGCACTTGGTGCCAAGTCAGCAACGCTGACACAGATTCTGGAAGGGCTTGCCTTTAACCTGAAAAAGATTCAGGAGCAGGAAATACACGAAGGTTTTTGCCAACTCCTCCAAGTGCTGAACCATACAGACAGTGAGCTCCAGCTGAGCCTGGGCAATGCCCTTTTTATAGAAGAGACGCTAAAACCACTACAGCAGTTCTTGGGTGATGTCAAAAGATTTTATGAATCTGAAGTCTTTTCTACTGACTTTAACAATTCCTCTGGTGCTGAGAATCAGATCAACAGTTATATTGAGGAAAAGACACACGGGAAAATTGTTAAACTAGTGGAAAATCTTGATCCTCTCACTGCAATAGTTCTTGTTAACTATGTCTTCTTTAAAGGTAAGAAATATCAAAGGGTGTGAAGGTTGTAACTTAGATGCTTACTGCTTATTACAGGGAATGAAAACCTGAAAGAAAGAAAGTCTAGTTTAAATATTTTAAATGGAGGAAACCATGTTCTCTATCTGGAAAATATTGTTCTAAAACCATGCATGTTTTTGTCTTGGTTTGAAAGACAGGTGTCTGCTGAGGAAGGCAGGAGCCTCCCTTGAAATGGAAAAATGCAACCCCCTTCCCTCCAAATTATTATAATTTGAAATTAAGGGGCCTTCAGGCAAGGATATGGGGAATAGGAATAACAGTTCTTTACTAATATATATATATATGTATATAACACAAGGCAGGAAAAAAAAACAAAACAACCCACTGGTTTACACTGACAGAGTCAGAAATACAACCCTGTTAGTAGACAACCCTGACACCCGGTAGCAGTCCGATAAAATGGTGGCTGCAGTCCTCCTGTAGCAATGGATGTAGTTCTATTGAAGCAGCGATCTT